CCCACTTCCCAGTTCTATTCTGAGTTAGATGCTCATCTTTTTTTTTTAAAGATTTATTTTATTTATTTGAAAGGCAGAGTTACAGAAAGAGGTAGAACTAGAGAGAGAGGGAAGTCTTCCATCTGCTGGTTCATTCCCCAGATGGCCACAAAGGCCAGAGCAAAGCTGAGCCGATCCAAAGCCAGGAGCCAGGTGCCTCTTCCAGGTCTCCAATGTGGGTGCAGGTACCCAAACACTCAGGCCATCTTTTTCTGCTTTCCCAGGTGCATTAGCAGAGAGCTAGGTTGGAAGGGGAGCAGCCAGGACTGTAGTTCAGGACTTTAACCCGCTATGCCACAGCGCCATCCCCTAGGTGCTCATCTTCTATGCTTCTATCCTATGCTATGAGGTGCCATTATTACCACACATTTGTCCCATCCTAATAGCTGATTATTATTGCTCACCCACAACCTTGAGAGCTCCTGGAGATCATAGCTCCTAGAACACAAGAAACCCAGTTATCAACATTAAATTAATGAATGAACATTTTAGCATATGCCTAACACGCTATATAAAAATAACAACACCTACCACTACAGAGGATTTGCTCTATGCCAGACACTGTGTTAAATGCCTTAAACACAGAATGTAATTTAATCTCCACAGCAACACTGTGAAACCAGGATTATCACACCTACTTTATCGATGAGGACAGTAAATCTGAGAGATGTGAAGTAATTTGCTAAGGTCAGAGAATCAGCAGGTGGTGAGAAAAGTCCTGGATCCAGCCCTGCCTGTCTGCAGAGCCCCTAATGTGGTCACCATGTTTGTGAGAAGAGCGATTTCTCTGTGGGCAGGTCTAACAGTGGACATAAGACAAAGCTTTAATCCACAGTGACATGTACAAAGGCATTTTAGCTTAGTTGTTTTCCTAGAGCCTGTATAATTCTCCCCACCCTGCTTGCCAGTTCTGTGTCCCAGCATCTTCCAAGTTAGGTCATCTTTGGGTGGTTTCATCCATGAGGTGAATATGCAGTCCTTTAGATACCCTGCCCTTTCCCCAGCTCCCGTGCAAAATGCTACCAAGAGGAATAGGCAGGTGGGATTTATAAACACCTAAGGGAGGGAGAGACTTGGGGCCTCTCACATTGTCTTTGGTATTGCAATGTTTGACTCCACTAAAGAGTCATTGGTGTGGGCCTATCCAAGGGCATTCTGTTAGTGTCCTATGCCTGACCCCTTCTCCTTGTAGTATCTCCCTACAGACTTGTCCTGACTCTGTATAACCTTCTCAGGCCTGGCTATTTCTCCTATTTAGGGCCTCTGCACCAACATTTCTACCCTGTAGACTCAGGTTAAATATCCCTTTGCTCTATTGTGATATATCTCTCATAGCACCACCACCACCACCGTCACCACCAACTCAGGTCTCTGACAGCACCATCCATTCAACCTCCTGCTTATTCTCCCCTACAAGGCCCACAGAAATTTCTAGATGCCTTCCATACTCCATGCTAACAAAGAGAAAGACTGAGAGTTGAAAGAAAGATTAGCTTCTCCCTAGCCACACCAAGCCCTAGATAGTTCAGTCTTTTCTATGACACCTTCCTTGGAGAGGGAGATCTCTGGTGGGGCTGCACCTTTCTCAGGGATGGGATGTCAGGGAATTCTTGAGGCAGTTGGTTTCTAGAGTTTACATGGGAGACAAGCAAAAGTGAGCCCCTTGGGATGTGGCTTTGTCCTCAACCGATCTAACATTTTCCTTCTGGGATTTGAACTTGGAGATCTGCAGGTGGGAGACCCTGCTTTTTTCCTACCTTCATTCCCTTCTTACACTCAGTTGGGGCTGGAAAGGGTGGGCTCTCCCCATCCTCCTCCCGCCTTTTCTGCACCTCCCTATATCATATCATCCTCCTTTCCACAGTGGAATTTGCCCTTCCCTTTTCCCTGGGGCTGAACTGGAGAATGGCTGCCAGGTAATCTGATTTATGGGGGAGAGGAATGAAAACACATCTGTTTAATATTTTCAGATTATTACCCCTGTTACCCCTGCATCTTGGAGGGTAATCACTGGTCTCTGGAGCTCTCTGGGTCCCTTTATAGTAGTGTGGCTCAGAGCAGTCGTCGAGGAAGATTTATAGGGCTCTTAGATACCTCCTTCACCTGGCTCACCACCCCATGCCTTTGGACCCATCAACCCAAATTCTTGGCTATCATCCCCTCTTTCATGAGCTGCCTAGAAACAAAGTGGGAGTATGTGCTCTACAGAATTAGTTGTTATAATGAATGAACCATACATTCAAATTCTGACAAATTTAGTCCTCATGATAACACCAATTATTTCTAACATATTGCTTCATTTGGGAGCATGGGAAAATAGCTAAAGAACCCACACTGAAAGGGCATGCTCTGAAAACACGGAGTATTTCGTTTGTAGACTCTGCCTTCCAACGTCAGAGTGTTTGGTCCTAAAGAAAGGGGAAGCTTTGTCAGTAAGGAAACTGACAACAGTGGGTCAGTAACAGAAATAGTAAGAGGAAGCATGGGTCTTTGTAGCCCTGACCACACTGTCATGTACCGTCAGCTCACTGTGGAACATGAGGGCTCGGTGTGTGTACATCCGGTCCTTAGATATTTGTGTACCTTGCAAGTCTAGAATTAGAATCTAACTATAGGAGAAAAAAAAATTCGTACATAAACTGAGACGTGGATAAAAGAATTAACTTATGCGCTATGGACCAAATGGAGAAGGAGAAAATCAAATTATTTAAATAATAGTCCAAATGGAGAGGATAAAATGGGGGGAGGGGCTTGTTTGAGATTAGCATTACCATCTGGGTTGTGAAATATTTGACTCTAATTCCAGAAGCTTGATACCAAAAATAACTTATTATCAGGAAATCAGGAACTTACACTGGATAATTGTCAGGGACAACAAGGTTTTTACTTCGTTTTAACATCTGTATCACAGAATGAGAAAACTGATAAATCATACAATAATGTAAAGTGAGCTATAGCCAGGTACTTCTGCCATATGCATTGATGCTGTTGTTTATACCCCAATTCCTCTCCCTTTCCAACCCATAAAAGGTGAGAGAACACTTTTTTTTTTTTTTGACTGGCAGAGTTAGACAGTGAGAGAGAGAGAGAGAGACTGTGAGAAAGGTCTTCCTTCCATTGGTTCACCCCCCAAATGGCCACTATGGCCGGCGCGCCCTGCCAATCCAAAGCCAGGAGCCAGGTGCTTCTCTTGGTCTCCCATGCGGGTGCAGGGCCCAAGGACTTGGGCCATCCTCCACTGCCTTCCCGGGCCACAGCAGAGAGCTGGATTGGAAGAGGAGCAACCAGGACAGAATCTGGCTCCCCAGCCAAGACTATAACCCGGATTACCGGCACTGCAGGTGGAGGATTAGCCTAGTGAGCCGCAGCGCTGGCCTGAGATCACTTTTTTTAATTTTATTTATTTTTATTTTATTTGAGAGGTAGAGTTACAGAGAGAGGGAGAGACTGAAAGGTCTTCCATCCTTTGGTTCACTCCCCAAATGGCTGCAATGGCTGGAGCTGGGCCGTTCCGAAGCCAGGAACCAGGAGCTTCTTTTGGGTCTCCCACAAAGTTGCAGAGGCCCAAGTCCTTGGGCCATCTTCTGCTGTTTTCCCAGGCCATTAGCAGAGAGCTGGATCAGAAGAGAAGCAGGCAGGACTCGAACCAGCACCCATATGGGATGCCAGCACCACAGGCAGAGGCTTAGCCTGCTATGCCACAGCGCCTGCCCCCAGAGACCACTTTTGATAAGTACAGAGCCCTTCAAATTCTCTTCTCCCTAGAGGAGAGCACTGGGTACACTTGGGGTCTGTTCAGAATTTACAATCTAATTCGTAGATTTTTCACAGTGGTAGCAGTTCTATTCACAGCTGTCCTTTCACAGTGGTCATGTTGGGAGTGTACCCAAAGTGCTCGATTTCTACCTTGATCTGTAATATTTGAGCTCTCGTTTAAATACAGACGATTGACTGTCCAGTCACATTAATAAAAACATGTCACATGTGGCTTTGAATTTCCAGTTCATTGCTTCCTACCTGTGTAACCTTAAGCAATTTACTTTAATGCACTAATTTACTCGTCTTTAAAATGGGGATAAAAAACGGCACAAACCTGTCTCACGGCCAGTGTATTTTAAAAATGCATTGCAATGCTATAAAACAGCTTGCCTACTGAATGCCTCCAAATATTAAATGAGGTGATCACTTGTTTAATGGAAATGAAAATGGAATAAATCGTAAAGCATCACCAAACTGTAGCAGGAGGTAGCATGAAGGATTAACATTGGGGTTTTGGGCTTAACCACGGTGTTTCTAAAATGGTGGTTATCTTTTTTTTTTTTTTAACCCTCTTTGGGGATTCCTTTGTACAGAAAAACCTCTTGATTTGCAATCTTTATTAAAGTAAAGGCCACCGATGAAAAGGAAAGGCCATTGATTAAAAGGAAGTCCAGCTTCTCCTTAGATTTTCTTTCTTTTTTTGGCTTCTTTTGGGGAGGAGGTTGTTGCTCTTCTGAGAGTGGGGGAGGAAGCTTGGGATTTTAACCCTTTCCTCTGATACCTTTTCTTCAAGCTGGTCACGACAGCGTTTTAGATTTTTCTGAAACCTGACCAAGTTTGATTTTCCTGGCACAAGCACTCGGTGTTGAAGGAGTTAAAGGGTCCCCCACACCCCTGTGCATGAATCCCTCTTTTGTGTACACAGCTGCAGCGGGAGCACGGGTCCGAAAGGAAACGGTTAGAGGAAGAGCGGGTTTTCAGACTAGGCGAGCCTGCGAGGGGGGCTGCGCTGTGGCCTGGGGTTTTACATGCCAGATGTAGGCCCCGGTGCCTGCCTGGAGCTGCTGGCCTAGTCACGCCGCCGCCCAGTGCGAATCCAGGCGAGGTGATGAGTTAGCGGGTTGCCATGGTGCCGGGAGGGCCACGTGACCAGGGTGCTGCTGCCGGCGCTCTGACGTCAGCGTCGGGAGGGCGGGGCCGTGAGCGGGCGGGGCGGGGCGAGAGCCGGGAGCAGGCGGCGAGCAGGCAGGCGGCAGGCAGGGTCCGTGCGCCGAGCGGGCGAGAGCGCCAGCGAGCGGGAAGACGCAGCCACCTTCCTCTGCAGCCAGCCCACAGCGGTTTGTTCCCTTTCTCGGGAGAGCGCCAATGCCCGGGCCGACCCAAACCCTGTCCCCCAATGGCGAGAACAACAACGACATCATCCAGGATAACGGGACCATCATTCCTTTCCGGAAGCACACAGTGCGCGGGGAGCGTTCCTACAGGTAATGGGGCTGGCACGGGCGCCGCGGCGGCCGGGGAGCGGCGCGGGGGCGCGCGGAAGTCCGGCCCGTTATATAATGGAGCCGGGCTGCAGACGTGCGTTTGGGAGGGCGGCTGCGATTCTGAGGGGGTCTGCCTCCGTGTGTCATGTCGGGTGTGCGTCGAGGCGTCCCCGACTGCAGAGGGGAGTAGGTTTGCCGCCTGCACGGAGCCTGCCTCCGTCTCTCTGCCTCCACATCGATGGAAATGCACGCTGCTTTCGCCTCCACCCCACACCCTTCGAAGAGCCGATGGGCTGTGGCACTTCCTCTCCTCCTTCCCTTTTAGATTTTAAAGGAGCCATGAGGTAGCCGTGGCTCAAGGCAGAGGTCGGGAAGGGTGGCGAGAAACACGTTCGCGCTGAACCTGGGGAGTGTGCAGGAAAGATGGAATCCTCCAGATTAAGCTGCAGTCTGTGATGGGAAACCGCCAGATTGATGGAGCTTTGTAAGGATTCTGCTCGCTGATTGGTGCAGGGATTGACAGCAGAGGTCACGGTGTCAGACATTCACCAAAATTCTCCCTAGAACCCCAGGTTTATTAGAAAGAGGTCGGACTGCGACAGACTTGGAGAAAAGCTGGGCGCCGTGTGGCGTTTTCGGAGGACTTGATGGCCTCCCGCTTGGGTGGGGGAGCCTTCCTCCCTGTTTACCGGAGGAAGGTAATTTCTGGTCTCTTGCTGGGGTCTGATTTGAGGAGGGGTCTGATCTCTGGCCGCTGTATTGTGAACCTCTTGATTAATGAGTTAGCCTGTGCGGTTGGCATCGTTTTTGCATTAACATATCTGGCAATATGTTCCTGTAGATAAGCTCATTAAAATTGTTTGCATTGTTTGATAAGGATAACAATGTAATGGAGAATGCAGCTAGGGTCTGAAGGGAGACTGATCGCTCCGGCCCTGCTTCCTCTGAAGTTCTTTTGTACAGAGGGAGTTATTTTTAAATGTTACCTTGATAACCGCTAACAATGCTTTTGCTTTCAGGCAGAGAGCACACACCTCCAAAGCGCATCCTCTCAGCTTGTGATCAACAGGAAATCAGCGTCTCTCTCTCTCCTCTTTTTTTTTTTTTTTTTTGAGCTTTCTTCTAAACATTCAGATGGTATTGTGGGTAGAATATTCTGTGTATAAATGTCACCTATCATAAAGTGAGAGCAAAAGCCCCTCAGTTCCTTCCTATTAAAACAAACAAAAAACACCCACCACTGGCTGTTGACGCCAAATGGATGTGAGCAACCTTTGCCCTGTCATCTCTCTGCAGTTATGTAATACTTGGAGTTAATTTTGGCTGTGCTCACGAGGTCACCAAAACCTCACGTCTTAGGGTTCCAGCGAGTGTGTTGACATGGCATCCTTAGATCTGAGTGGAAACCGAAATCAGCCCACTGCTCCGGAGACACTCCTTTGGGAGACCCTGTGATTCAAAAGTTGAATCCCTGCTTTTCTCGCTCCCCCATCTTTCTCCTCTGTGAACACCCCAAAGCCCAAAAACAGAATTTGGAAACAAGAAACTTGAGTTGTTCTACTAGGTAATAAATGGGCAGCTCCCATTTGCTAAATGTGAACCCCTGCAATGAAGGTAGCAGTTGCTTTTATGACAGAGTTAGAATTTTACCACACGGGCTAAAGGAAGTGGCCTAGTTGGGTTTTATTACTCATAAGAACTAACATGAAATAGCAATGGAAAGATAACTTGGCAAGTTAAATATTACCTTTTAGTGATGTTATTCCTTTACAATGAAATCTTGTTTTCCTTTCTAATTAAATCCAAATTATTTCCATTTCCTGAATTACCCATTTGCAGTTTGCTATCTGAGACCCTAGAATGGTCCCTGAAATTAAGTTAAAAAAAAAAAACACAACAGAATTTTACTAATCATCTAATGAAATTTTTGTGTAACTAGAACATCATTGTATTTGTATTTTATATAATAGGATTACTGGACACTATAGAGATGACATAGGTTAAAGTGAAGAAAGGAGCCTCTGAAATTATATTTGTAATGTGTTGGACAGAGTGGATTCACAAAGACACACTGAATTTCCTTGGTCACCTTTTCTTTCAAAATGGATGACCAGTGTAATTGTAGCTACTCCTTATTTTTTTGGAGGGATGTAAGGATAGGAAAAATGTGATACATTTTTCTGTGCAGGAAGCATTCCATCATTATTTTGGCTTCCCCAGACTGGAATAATATAGCCATTTCATTGCTGGGGAAAGTTGGAAGGCAATTTGAAAAAGTAGAGATTTAACCAAACGTCTTACTTTGGCTGTAGGTTTAGTAAAGCCCTCAACCACGAGATGTGCTTAGAAATTCTCCGTGGAGTCCCTTGGAGGGGCCTGGGTAAGCCCAATACCCTGGCTAGATCAGAAGCAATTCTTGTCCTGCTTCTTTGGCTGAATCCTGGGTAGGCTCCCAGCAGGCCCTTTATCTTGGGCCTACTTTTGCTCTGCAGTATGAGGAATGTCTAATCCCATTCTTACAGAGATGTTGTAAGGTTAACCTCTAGCATTTAAGCCCAATTGCATAGCAGAAGAGAGCTTTGTAAATAGAAGAATGCTGGGACAGAGCCCTGGGGCAGGCACACTCCTCAGCTCGCTGGCAGCACAGGGGACAGGAGAGGACACCCAGAGATGGGATAGTGCTCTGGGGCACCCATAATGGGCAGGCAGCCACTCTTCTGTTGCGATAGCATTTGTACCAGATTGCTCATAAATAAAAGTCAGATGTGGTTCCTGACCCAGATTTCTTAACCCAGGTATTTCTTGGTGTAGATCGAGACCCACTTTCACAGCCTGGAGTAGAGGAGGTAACAAATATATATATATATATATATATTTTTTTTTTTTTTTTGACAGGCAGAGTGGATAGTGAGAGAGAGAGAGACAGAGAGAAAGGTCTTCCTTTTGCCGTTGGTTCACCCTCCAATGGCCGCCACGGCCGGCGCACCGTGCTGATCCGATGGCAGGAGCCAGGTGCTTCTCCTGGTCTCCCATGGGGTGCAGGGCCCAAGCACTTGGGCCATCCTCCACTGTACTCCCTGGCCACAGCAGAGGGCTGGCCTGGAAGAGGGGCAACCAGGAAAGAATCCGGCGCCCCGATCAGGACTAGAACCTGGTGTGCCGGCGCCGCTAGGTGGAGGATTAGCCTATTGAGCCACGGCGCCGGCCAACAAATAATTTTTGAAACTAGCGTACTCTTTAGTTTGAGATGCGAGTTTCCTTGAGAAAATGAAGTAATTCCGATTAAATGGCCCGAGAGAGCCGTGTGGCTGGCGTGCTTCCACAGCCCATGTCCACTGCCGCCTGCTCAGCCCTAGCGTCCTCACTGCATTCATGAGCACTGGAAATCCATATATTTTAAGGGCTGCTTAAAAAATAAATGTGGTATGGGCCATCCGAGGTGACACTGTTTAATTCGCAGAGCGATTGAATTGTGCTCTGCATCTCCCCCGAGAGAGTACTCCCCATGGCTCAGTTTCATGCAGATGCTAGTCGGAAATGAGATTTATTAACTGGCCTTCTGCCCACTACATCTTTGTGTGCATACTCCAGTCTTTTAAGAACGAATGGATAAGGCTAGGGGCCTGTTTCCACATGGGTGTTTGGACGTGCAACTGCAGTAGCATATGTTTCTGAATACTTAAAAAAAAATTACTTGGCCCCAGGAAATGGACTGTAAAGAAAGGCAGAAGTAAAACTTAAGCCTGAAACATTGACCTAAAACATCCAGCTTTGCCAATTGAAAATGGTGAGCTGTTATGAAAAACAAAGGAATATTGTGTGTATATGTATATATACACGCACATACACAATAGGTATTTCTGTACAACGCTATATATATGATAGTGTGGTGAAAGTGTGTTCCATTCCAGAAGCTATTCCATTCAATAACAGGGCTCACTTTTATTAGAATGTTGATTTCAGATCACATTCTCCCAAACAGCAGCTACAGACAACAGAAATCTGGCTTTATATTCTGTGTTATGTACGTATTAGTATCATCTGGGTTTAATACTGCCAAGGGAGGTTTTTGAAAATTGTGATTTTTATTCCTAATCCTTGATGCCTCGTTATTGGGTTCTACTTTGGAACTTCTCAGAGCTTCTGTTAAGAGAATGGTCTTGGCGGTGCCGCGGCTCACTAGGCTAATCCTCCACCTGCGGCGTTGGCACCCCAGGTTCTAGCCCCGGTTGGGACGCCAGATTCTGTCCCGGTTGCCCCTCTTCCAGTCCAGCTCTCTGCTGTGGCCCTGGAAGGCAGTGGAGGATGGCCCAAGTCCTTGGGCCCTGCACCTGCATGGAGACCAGGAGGAAGCGCCTGTCTCTTGGCGCTTCAGATTGGCCCAGCGTGACGGCCTTAGCTGCCATTTGGGGGTGAACCAACGGAAGGAAGAAGACCTTTCTCTCTGTCTCTCTAACTCTGCCAGTCAAAAAAAAAAAGTCTTCCCCATGCTCTTGCCTTTGGGGAGCAGAGCTCACCCTGCTTTGCAGCTGGCTGTCAGATTTGTTTACAGTGCATTATCTTAGCGGGGCACTGGTGTGAGATTGTCCTCTGGAATTTAGGAAGCTGTTTCCTTATACAGCATCCTTCTTGGATTCATAGGGAACTCTTGAAGCTGCAATGATTAGTCCCTTAGATTAATGGAGAGAGAAAGGTCAGGACTAACCTAACTATCCTGCTTGGTTTGGAGAATTAAGTCAACAAATACTTGGGAGTCCGCTTTGACCAGTGTCTGTGCTAGATGCCCCTTCAAGGACTTAAGTTCTAGCGAAGCGAGATTCTATTATAAACAGCTCATTTTCTAATAGATTTATATTGCAGTCAATATTTTGCTTCGTCTGATAGCAAAAGTGGTTTGCATTTCCTGCACAGTGATTCAGAATGAAAAAATATACCCCGAAGGCTAGTGTGCGGCAGGAAGCGGAAAGATACTTTGGGAAACCAAACATTTTGGTGAAGAG